CACCCAGGCGCCCCTAAGGAGGTTTTTTAAAATACAGTCCCTTCTCCTCCCCTGGGAGTCTAGAGTCCAGTTTTTTCTACTGGCTCTGCTGCTCAGGTGCTGTGTGATTTTCAGGCCAGGCCACACCCTCTCTGATCTCCATTCTAGAGGACAGGAATTAGATGGTCCCTGAGGTTAGTGGCATCCTTCAGCATAGGGTTTCCAAAGGGGCTGCCCCCCCATGGCTCAGGTCAGCCCAACCGGTGGGCATCCCCTCTGGCCACTCCCTCCCACCTCCACCTGCCACCCCAGGTGTTAGAGAAAGTCCTTCGTCCCCAGGAGGCCCAGCTAAACATGCAAACAGGATTTCCAGGTTCTCCAGGAGCTTGCCTTCCAGAGAGCAGACCTGTCCAGACACAGACAGCAAACAATCAAATACAGGAAGAAGGTATTTCAGAGAGAGATGAACTCTGTCCAGAAAAACAGACAAACAAACAAAACAACCGTAAACCCCAGGACAGTGCAGACCTAGCACCGGGGAGAGCAGAGGATGACCAGAGTACATTGGCCGGTCAGGGAAGGCCTCACCTGGGAAGAAGCAGGTGGCACTGAGGTCTCCGTGACAGAGAGTCACCACAGGAGCACAGGGAGATTGGCCGGCGGGGCGCGTGCATTCCAGAAGGAGACAACTGCAAAGGCCCTGCGGTGGGAATAAAGGAGGCACGTTCAAGGGGCAGGAAACACGCATGGGTGGCTTAGAGCAGAGCGGTGACGGGTGAGCATCTGAAGTCAGACTGTTCAGTGAGGGGTAGGACTTCATTCCAGGTGCAAATGGAAGCCACGGGAGGGGAGGGGGTAGGCAGGGGAGGAATTTATTTCTGTCTCATAAGATGGTACCGGCTGCTGTGAGGGGAGTGGAGCGAAGAAGGGAGCACAGTGAGGAGGTCTGAGTGGGAGCACATGGGCTTGGAGACTGAAGGGGGTGGTGGGGGCAGCCATGTGGTTGAGGCACATCTAGAAGGTTTATCTAGCAGCCTCCAGGTCCATCAGTAATGTGGGTGGGATGCCAGGGAGAGAAAGGAGGCCTCCCGACATAGGACTCCCAGCAGCTGGGTGTTTGGTAGAGGCTGAACGTGCAGCTCAGACCCCCCCGCCCCATCCTAACTCTGAACGGAGGAGAGATGACCAAACACAGGGGTCCCCACAGGCCTGAGCCACTGCTGTTGTCTTAGAGCATGGACGTAAACGGCCCAGAGACAGGAGTCACTGTCCCAGCCCAGTTGGGGCTCCCTGGGCATCCAGGGGAGAGAGGTTGTGGACTGGGACCGTGCATGGGGGTTTGCGTGTGTCTGTTGGTGTGAGTATGCGTGTCTGACTGTGATGTCTCGGGGGCTGCACCGGGCGAGGTTGGATCCCTGTTTGGCCCAGGCACCCAGAACAAGTCTAGGACTTGTCAGGCCCGTGGAGGTAGGGAGGCCAGGTGCTGGGGTCAGGAAGCCAAGACCCTGTTCCCTTCCAGCCAAGCTAGTAAACTCTGGAGAGACTCCGTTTGCTCATCTGCAAAGTGGGCAGGAAAATAGCTGCCCCCCTGCTAATCCCTCGGGGGCATGGTGGGCCAAAGGAGGCCTGTGGTTTAACAAGAAGAGCTTTGGGTTTCTTGGCAGCTATGAGTCTGAGCATGTCTTTTTTATTCATTTCCTTGAGCTTCAGGGTCCTCATCTGTGAAATGGACCGCCTACGTCCCAGGATTGTCGTGCTGCTCATGTGTGTTATCCCATCGTGTGCTGGCAACTGGTCATTATCTGGAATGTGATGGATGAGAGGGCTTTGAGCCCATTGTCAGAGAGAAGAGGGGGAAGCAGAATGCCCCCTCCTGAGGGCCCAAGCCTCCAGGTGTAGTGACACGCTGGGAGCCGGGGCTCGGAAGGGAGCCTAAAATTAGCCCTAGAGACGCCCAGGCTGAGGGAGTCCAGTGACCGAAGGAAAGGTGGGGAGGGAGGGCCTGGACCCTTGAGTGTGGAATACAGCCTCCCCAGGTACCCCTGGGAGCCTGAGCCCAGTAACTGTAGTGTCCCTCCCAACTTTGTAAGCAGTGGGACCCCCAATAAAATGGGCCTGGGCTCCATTCCAGGATTCTGAGCCCACCCTGGGGCCTCGTCTCCAGCCTCCTGTCAGTTCCTTCGCTTGCCCCTGAGCCCTTCCAGGGGAGACATTGAGGATCAGCCAGATACCCCCCTTCAGGATGCAGGCTCCTGCCACAGCTGGCCATCTCCGTGAGGCCGCTTCCTGTGGCCGGCACAGGAAGTGATGTCATGGGCACAGGCAGGTCTACAGAGGGTATGGGAAAAGGGCTGCGCAAGGGGCCTCCTTTGTTAGAAGTAGCTCCGCGTCCCCCAAGCCCGCCAGCCCCCATTTGTCATCAGTAACGGCCATTGTAACCACCTCTGAGGGGGGCCCCAGCCTGAACCCCACAGCCGCCAGAAGCCAGGGCCAGATGGAAGAAGGGCTTTGTGTCCAGGGAGGGGTCCTTCCATGGGGGGTTTATGTGTTTTTAAAACATAATAATAAGTGGCCTCCGTCCCCCCCACCCTCCCCGCTCCCCACTGAGCACATCAGCCTCGCGGTGAATGGAAGAGATTTTCCATGCAGTGGGAGGTCAAGTCTGGAGGGAATTAGCCCGTGTCCAGGGGCTAGAGAAAGACTGATTGCTGATGATAAATGTGCCCAGCGTGGGGTGTTTCTCGCTCCCTCACCTCCCGCCTGCTCCCCTTCTCTCCTCCCAGTCCTGCCCCACCGGTGCGGGCACCGCCTCCCGCCAGCCAGCCCTGGAGACACAGCCCTGGAGATGCCCGCCTCTTGGTGCTGAGCCTAGGGGGCTCAGGGCTGGCCTTGTCACCCACCTGGGGACAAAAAGAGTGGGCGGGGATGTCAAGGCCCCGCATACCACCTCAGCCTCATGCTGAGGTCTCTGCCCTGGGCCAGACGAGAGCGGACCCGGCTGAGACGGATGGTAGTGAGTTTCCATCCCAGGCAGGGGGCCTACGGAGACCGAGCGTTTCCCCGCAGCCCTGCGCTGGCTGTGCTGTCTGCCCTCCTCAGTCCCGAATCAGAAGCCGCGCTCTGGCCCGGCTTGGCTACTGATTTGCTGTGTGATGTTGATCAGTCGCTTTCCTTCTCTGAGCTGATAGAACGCGAGACTCCAGGCCCCTCTGATTGTGACTTCCTGTGCTTCTGCCTGTTCTCCCCTTTCTTACAGGTGGGGAAACTGAGGCCCCAAGGGGTGAAACAACCTCCCCAAGGTCTCAGTGGCAGAGTGGGGGTTTGAACCCATTCCTCTTGGGGTCCCCGGAAGGGAAGCAGAAGCCCTCTGTGAGGGTTTTTCATTCAGGAATATCTGAGCACACAGCTCTAGCCTCTCGCTCCTCTCAGCGGCAGCTCTGGAAGATACGGTTTCCTCCCTTTGGTCCTGAGGCCACGTCCTTTGCCTCCAAGGCCCTGGCTCCTGCTTATTCCAGCGGCTTAGGTGCTGGTACCTCTTAAGCCTGTGGCCTTGACTTCTTCCCTGTCAGGTGGGAGCCTATGTCTCCACACTGAGTCCTGCCCGGGTCCAGCACCTGGCCGGGTCCTCCTGTCAGGCTCACAGCTCTGTTCTGCCAGTTCCGCTCCTCTCCTAGGGCCTGGTTACCCCGTCCTGAACATTTCGGGGGTGGGGGGGGGACACCAACGCTGCCAGACCCACCCTGGTTACCTCTCCTCCCGCATTTTAAGTGGGTTGTGAACAAAACAGAACTCGTCCGTGAGGAAGCCAGCTTGGTGGTGAGGGGGTGTCAAGCCGTGTCTCGTGAATATTTGAAAGCAAGGCGACAAGGCCAGGGCAGGCAGCTGCACGCCCCAGAGGCTGGAAGCTGTCATGCGGGAGAGGAAGCACGCTGTTTTGCGTGACCTCAGAGGTTAAACTTGTAGCAACGGTGGGAACCTCAGACAGCAGATTTCAGCCGAAAGTAAGGAGGACTTTTCCGTTAGGTCTGTTCAAAGGAGAACCTGGCTGAGAAAAGCAGTGGTGAGTTCCCCGTCCCTGGAGGTATGTGAGTCAAGGTTGGATAGAGTGGATGGGGGATGTTTTTCAAGATGGCCCTTGAAGTAACCTCTATTCCTGTGAGGCTGCATCCGAGTGAGACAGGCTGCTGTCAGCCCTCATGCAGGCAGCTATGGGGAAATTGGAAGTGAGGGTTTGAATGGCACCCACAAGAGGTCCCACCTGGAGGTGCTGGCGGTCCTCGATCTGAGACCTGGGGCGGGAGAACCTGGGCATGGCCGGGACAGTCCAGCAGCAAATAGTTCCTCCTCCTCCCTCCCTCCTGCCCCCAGGCTCCCCTCACCTTCTGCTTTAGGACCACAGTCTGTGCTGGGCCTTTGAGCTAGGAATAACAGTGGCCAAAAAGGTGACCCCGCTTTAGGGAAATTGGCTTCAGGAAGAAAAAATCTACCCAGTAGGACACCGTCACACGCTGACAGATTCCATCTCAAAGTGATCGAACCAGAGTAGGCCTTGAGGGGTTGGCTCGACCAGCTTCCTGGCCAAATGGGGGCCAAGAGCAATGCCAGTCCCCAGCTGGAGTGCAAGCCCCGAGCCCCTGGCCCCAGGGGTTGCTCTTCTCCAGCGTGTGTGATTACATCTATGCGTCTTCCATACCTTCATCTTGGGACGGCTGGGCCACCCGCGTATGTGGCTGCGAAGGCAGGTTGCATTTTAAATGAGTTCTATTAGAAAAATGCACTTCACGTGGGACATCTTCCCGCCAGCAGGAAATCCAGATCCAGATCTGGCCTGGCAGGTGCAAGCTCTCTTCCGCGGGGGGCGTCTCCTGAGGTGTCTGTCTCTTCTGTAAAGATGGAGCTAAGGGGAGGACCGTAGTGGAAACCAGGGAGGCAGGTGAGGGAGGGACCTGGCGCTTCCTCCCACTGACGAGGCGACCTCGGGCAAGTCCCGTGATGCCCCGTGGCTTCGTCTGGAAAATGGGAAGATAATCCTCACCTTGGGGTTTGTGGGGAGTAAATGGGGTGAAGGGTGGCAAGTACCTGGCACGTAGTTCCACACTTTCGTCGTAGAAATAAATGCCAATTACGGTTCAGAAGTCGGATTCCAGTATCCGGCTGCCCAGATTTGCTCCCTAGCTCTCTGCCACTGACTAGCTGTGTCGCTCTGTGCCATTTACTTCACCTCGCTTGGTCTCCGTTTCTCATCTATAGCATGGGCATAATGATCGTGCCTAATAGGGCATAGGGGCTGTGGTTCCCAAACCGTGCGCCGAAGCACCCCAGGGTGCCGCGACACATTCCCAGGGGGCGCAGCGGGGTATTATTAACCTTCGAGGAAACACAGACCCACTAAACAGCTGCAAGATACAGCGGCAACTGTTGATTCGAGGTAGCTTATGATTTCGACATCGCATCGCACTTTTTCCCTTTACGTGGCCTCACGTCTTTGCAAAGGTGGGATTTGGGCGTTTGGAGGTACTCTGAGACAGACCAGGAGGGTGGAGGCTCCAGTCTGATTCCAAGATTTGAGAACTTGTGCAGCGCCCAAGTGGTGCACACACGCCCGTTGGTAAGTCATTGGGGCGGTTTAGGAATGGAGTACAACTGTTATTTGTTTCTTTCGGTTTAGGTGTATGATTTTTTCAAACGGCTACCAACTTGTTAGGACACACACACACACACAAGTTGTTCAGAGCTAACTGCTTAATAAACCATTAGGAATTCCTTTTGAATCTTGGGGTAAAAATTACCAAGACGCCAAAAACCAAAGAAGTTGAGGGGCCTCTGTCAGCCTTGTTGCAGGGACTCCGTGAGTTCGTATGAAGTGCCCTGTGACAGCATCGGGCAGGGTAAGCATCCGGGAACCCTGAGACGCCATTACTCTTCTCCCTCCAGGCTGGCCCCCACACGGCAGGCTCAGGTGGCCCTCAGCCGCGACGACCCGAGCCGGGGCCAAGGTGGAGGAGAAGTGTCCACTGATGAGGGCGGGGACCCAGCTCAGCTGTTCCCCAGGCTCTGGCAGCACCCCCCCACCCCCACTTTTATTTGATCTGCTTTCACTGAGCACCTACTACGTGCCTGGCAAGCCTGTAGGCTGCCGGTGGTCCGCCTGGGGAGGAGCTCTCAGGTCAGACCTGGTTCTTGTCTCCTGGCGGCATCTGAATCCAGGATGCCTGGGGGGCGGGGGCATCGCAAAGGGGAAGCAGCTACATCTAGAGCCTCCCTGCACTGCCATGCCAGAGACGCATCGATGAGGATGCCCTGCCAAGGCCAGAGATGAAGCTTCGTGCAGGGGTGGAGAAGAGGGCTGGGGCAGGAGGGCGGGGCCGGGGCCGCCAGACTCGGGGCCTGCTGCACTAATGGATGTCTAATGTTTACTTTGCTCAGCCGCGTCTGCGCCTGCTTTATAAATGAGCCGCATTAGGGTGATAAAACAAAGTCGTAAATACAGCCCGCAGTGCCGCAGAGAGCCACGGCAGCCATCACCTGGGGGCTGGGGGCCGCGTGGCTGGAAGGCAGAGCTGGCATGCCCCTGCACCACGGGCTCCCACGCACCTTCTCTGATGGCCGCCACCCCCCAGAGGGAGGCCCGGTGCCCCATGTCACGGACGGGGTGCCTGAGGTCAGTAAGGGCGACTTCAGACCCAGGGGTGTCTCAAGCCTGCACCTGCCTCTCACCCCTCGGGCCTGAGACAGAAGCAGGGTGCCGGCAGCGGGAGGTGGGCACGGGGCTCTGCCGCCCACACGACCTCTTGGCTGCACCCTGCGCTGTGGCCACTGGGAGGCCAGTGTCCAGCTCCCTGGGCATTGTTTCATCTTGCCATCAACCGCTCAAGCTCCCAGAACCTAGGGGCTGCCGGTTTACCTACCAAGAAGGTGCCTCCCTGCCTGGCAGAGGGAAGTTTGTTTTATGACCCGGAATGCTTCGGTGCTCTTCCCGGGGCAGCTGCTCACTAAGCGGGGGCCTTGCGTCCGTCATCACCCCGTTTGGATGGTCTTCAGTTTCTTCAACTTTGAAACAAGGGCAGTTCCAGCCTTGCTGACCCTTTAATGAGAGAGCTCTTGGAATTGTAGGGTCTTGGCCAGTGTCAGGATCTGTTAAGATCCTCAGATGTGGGGACACCCCGCCATGTCCCGGAGCTACTCCAGTGAACGCGGTGTGGAGCCCTGGGCGGCTCCCCAAACGCCAGGGTCTGTTTATTGGGTCTGCTTCTTGCTGGCTCTGTGCCCTCGAGCAAGTTGCTTAACTTCTCTGAGCCTCAGCTTCCCCATCTACAAACTGAAGACTAATATTAAATACCTTACAGAATTGTTAGCTAAAAATACAGCACCGAGTGGGAGGTGAGCATTCGTTGCCATTTTCACGCTGCGACTTGTACCTACTGTGCGCCAGGCTGCTCCTGGGCACTCAGGCTTGTCGTGTGGTCCCCAAAACAGTCCAGAGGACGGTGTTTACCTCCTGCCATCTTCAGAGATGAGGTAATGACGTCGGAGTTCTGTCCTAGGGGCACACAGAACATGCTGGATGGAGCTGGATTCATACCTTCTTGCCAGCTTTGCCTTTGTTCCCATAGATCACACACACACACACACACACACACACACACACACACACACACAGCTGCCCCCCTCCCTGGGACCCAGAGCCAGCAGCCAGTGACAACCTGGTCCACTGAGGGATGGCCTAGCTTGGGCATTTTAGCCCCCTTGGCCCATAGGGGGATGCCTTGGCACTGAGCATGTCCCATCGTGGCCTCCTGGGTTGAAACACAAGTGCCTGATCCCAGGGACCACTTGCGCCTCTGGGGAACCCCCCCCCAAATCAAGCTAGGACAGTGACAGGGCCACGGTTGGCTCTAAGGGGCTGGGCAGGTGCACACCCCTGCAGCTTAATTCATGGTTTCCTCTGGAGCTTAGCAGAGGAGGACAGCCCCCCACCGCTTGTCCCAGCCACCTGATTATTTGGCACTTGGTGTTGGAAAGTCATTTTTCCTAAGTGGATTGCAAACCAATAGCCTGGCCTGGCCTGGTTTCCCTCCCTCCCACTACTGGTGGTGGCCAGCCCCTCTCCCTTCCTGTTTGTCTCACCTCCTGAGGCGCTGTTCTTTCCAGGGATGCAGGCGGGCCAGGGTTTCCATCTGGCCCCTTTTGGGGGAGGACATTGCTGCGGGCACAGCCTATCTGCATTCCCAGGCTCTGAAGTTTCCTTGTCTGTTGTTAGGGTGGAGGGTGTGGATTTTGCTGTGGCAGAGACAACAGTCCAGAGGAGGGGAGGCTCTGGGTAAAGGCTGCTGGGAAGAGGGGCTCCATTTCTATGTGGCTGTCTGCCTTGGGCTTCCTGGAGGAGGGGGCAGGCCAAGCACCAAGGAGCCCAGGCCCGGCGCGACCGCCCCACGTCACCCCTCGTCACGCCTCTGTGGACCCCGGCTTGTCTCCCCACTTCCATCAGCCTGGCTGCCTGCAAAGGGCAGCTGTGCCTTCAGGGCAGAGCTGGCCTGGTTTGTGCTCCAGGCACAGTCACCCACTCCCACCCTTCACCTGCTGTGACATCACCGCGGGACCCTGGAGGGAAGCTCCAGAGGTCCAGTGCAGGAGACGTTGGAGAGGGCTAGGGGGGGTGGTATCCTCACCCGGACGGATCGCTTCAGCATCCCGGGCCACCCTGACTGCTCCTCCTGGAAACAAGTCAAATCACACAGTATCAGAGAGCTAGGACTGGTGTGTCCAAAGCACAGGCTCTTAAAAGCTGGGTGGGATGGGGAAACTGAGGCCCCCGGGAGGTCACGGAGGGCATCGCAGCTGGTCTCCAGCTGCCCACCCCTCCTCCGAGCCTGCAGCCTCACGAAGCCCGCCTTCCCTCCACAGGCACTGATTCCGGCAGCGAGGTGCTCCCCGACTCCTTCCCCTCGGCGCCGGCTGAGCCCCTGCCCCACTTCCTGCAGGAGCCACAGGATGCCTACATCGTGAAGAACAAGCCCGTGGAGCTGCGCTGCCGTGCCTTCCCCGCCACACAGATCTACTTCAAGTGTAACGGCGAGTGGGTCAGCCAGAATGACCACGTCATGCAGGAGGGCCTGGATGAGGCCACGGGTGAGCCTGCCCCCCACCTCGTCCGGTCACCCCCAGCACACCTGGGCCCAGGGGTTCCACCCTGGGCTCCCTGTGAGACTTCACATGGCCATAGCTTCCCCCCCGCCCCCATCCGCCGCCTCAGTTTCCCCTCTGGGATTCACCCTTGATCAGTATTTCCCCAAGGGTTGTCCCAGTCTGACTTTGGGTTACCAAATGAAAGTGCACCGAATCCTTGCTGAGTGCTCACTCTTTTTCTGGTTTCTCTCTGTCTCTGGCTTACATCACGGAGCAGTCTGGGGGCGGGGGTGGGGGTGGGGGGGCTAGAGCTCTTACACACACGCACGCACACCCCAGCACCTGCTGTGCTCCCCGTTTAACAAAGAGCTCCCCCCCAGCCCCCCACCGGCACGCAACTAGAATCCTAGACCATCGTGAGTGCGGGAGGGCCTCAGTGTCTGTGGGAAGTGATTCTGTTTCTTTTCATGAGAATGCTGCGTTTCCTTCATAGACATCAGTTGTTTTCAGTTTAAACAAGAGGTTGGTGATGTCACGTAAATAACCA